AAGTTCATCACCTCATTTTTCTTTCAAGGTACTAGGTAAGAGACTTCAGTGTCCCTTTGGGTACGTTTAAATAGATAACCTCCCAGCATAAGTTTTTTTCTCCTCAGACAGCAGCATGTTAGAAGTGTGTTAATTACACAGGCACAAAATCGGGTCAAATAAAATGCAAAACCCTAAAACCTACATCAAGCCATCTTGCACAATACAGCACACTCCTTGCAATTTATACTCTACAATAAATGACTTTTGCATTAAGGAGAGGATAAAGATGTGGAATAATCAGAAGTTACAGCAAATCTGTCCATCTTCCTAGTGCACTCCATACACATACAGATTGTTTTCTATAATCTATTATACACAGACTGGCTGAAAGGAATCACACTGGAGGGGGCCTCCACAGGTTGAGTGGCCCAAGCTCAGCTAAGGTCACAGACAGATTCTCATCTAAACACAGGAAAATTCCAGGACTGTATTCCTGTCGTGCAAGACTTCTCCAGAAGTAGTTTACATGGATTTGTAGTCCAGGAAAATCTCCACTAAACATGTCTTTCAAGCTATCTCCCTTTCCATAGCATCACTTTTTACAGGATCGTTAAGCTTCTGGAATATCACTAAAGCTCCAGACAGACATTTCTCTAGCATAAACCTGTTGCAAGTGTAAGTAGGTGTCAAAATTTCTCAAGAGATGTAATATAACAGAAGAGCATGTCTTTATGGTTTGATTACTTACCTTTAAATTCAGTGCTACAAAAACAACCCTTGAGACTAATCATTACCTTAGCCAAAATATCAACCTCCTATTCCATGTTTCACTCAGAACTTTAAATCGGCTTACCCTGGCAATGTTCAGAACACAGTGCTATGGTTCCAATTATGTTTTGATAGTATCAATGTCCCAAATACCTGGAAGCATACTTTAAATATCATAGCAATCATGCCACACAACCTATCAGTTGAAAGAGGGATAAGTTTTATCCAGTTTTACTCCTAGTTGTATTTGATGGATGTAAAAACGTGAAAGTACCTTGGAATCTTAAAAAGCCTCTCAATAGTTCATCTGAAAGGTGTATTCCACAGAAGTAAACCCAGGTGAAAATGGTTGAGGACATAAGACACATTTCCTTATCATAATGAAAAGTAAATTATCACTGGGGAAAAAACCCACCAGTATTTGCACCCAAGTTCACAGCGGCAGTCCTGGAGGGCTGACAGGCATAAGCAAGTAGCAACAGTCAGGCAAATATTATTTCCCCCATCTCCCTTCTAATGAAAAATGGGGAACTACAAATCTGAACACACATCTACATTGCCAAATTCTACTTAAACAAATGGAGTTTTAATTATTGACTGCAGTAGTACTTTTAAACTGCTTTCTCATGCAACCCATTCATACTGGGATGTGGTAAACGACACTAAAATGAACTTTAACTCAGGAAGTGGCTTTACTACACACCTCTTTCCATGGTCGGGGTTAACAGCAACAAACTTGTGTGGGTGCTGCTGAGAGGGTTTTGGAGATTTGTTGCAAGAGTGTACTCAGGTCCACAATGCCAGCTTAGTTCATGCTCCAGGATTTAAGAACATGTTCTATGGGCTTTTCAAAATCAGAACTTACTTTTGGTGCACGTATTTTCTGTGATAAAGAAAATAACAAACAAACTGGTTTTTTAGTCCTCAAATATCTCAAGACAGGCACCCACAGGAAAAAAATGTGCCCGCTATTGCTTCTGTTTGGGTTTAAACAAAACATTGATTGCAGACTCTCTTCTTTGCATCATCCTGCTGGCACATCAGCAGCAAGACACTACTACATCACGAACACACAATATTTTAGGCATCTCATAACAAAGCACGAAGCATCGCTGTCTCACAGAATACTGTATTGATGTACAATGCCAGTCAAACCTCACTGGAAACCTTGCTGATCTTTATAACATTATGCCCCAAAAGCAACGTTTCTGTGAATGCAGAGGTGGACTCCAGTGCCTCTTCAGAAATTCCAGCCACTTGAAATAGAATACAACTACAGTTTCCCTAACTGAACCCATTTCTGCTGCAGTCAGGAACCTTTATCTCATGTGAAAATAGTCACTTCATTGCTAATAACTGCTCTCCAAGAAATGGAATTTATCAATTCCAAAAGCAAAACACAGATAAGAGTACAGAACTTAAGTTTCTCTCAAATATCTTCTGATAATTAACAAAAGTATTCAAACACTTTGTTAGAAAATATATGAAATACAAAGCTTGCCATGAAGAACTTGTGTATTATGCTCTGTGTTAACCATTAACTTACTTTAACTTACTCTGCATAAGAGATTGGATAAACTAGACCCCACACAGGGTTCACAAAGCAGCTGAACACTAAGTAGAAGTATGATACAGCTCGTAATTCCTATTTTTCTTTGCAAGATGTGAATAAATGCCAGCATACCACCAAAAGTATTACCTTGTGGTTAATGTTTGAAAGATCTTGCCTTACAAACGATCAATTATGCTGGCTGACTTTATGGTACCTTTTGTTACCACCTCTCCATAGTGAAACTTCTCTTGTCTGCAGTTATTAGCTAATCTCACTAGTGATCTTAGATCATTTTGCAAAGAAGTTCACAAGTCTGAAATAAAAGGAATGGAAACACTTTTTTGCCCTTAGCTGAATCAAATCACAATGCACCATGAAAACATTGATATTTTCAGAGTCACAGTTTTGTTCCAGGGTAGTTTGTCTGCCTTTCAAAACAAACAAACAAACAAACAAACAAAGCCAAATTCACTTTGCCTGATCCAACTTCACAAATTTAAGGAGTGCTTCAGTGAAAAGGCCTTTTTGGTGCCAGGGAATGTGAGTAATCGTGGACTCTTCCAGAGCAGCTGGTGGCTAAGCAAGCATGGCTGTCCCCAGGAGCTGCAAAATGGGGAATTCCTTTTCCTTTCATAGAAATTATCTTTTTCAAGAGAATGCATTTTTTTCCATTATCTTGACATAGCCAGGAAAGCTTATCATGTAATCTACTACATAACAGCAATCAGAAGTGAGTGATGTCATTGGAAGAAGTTACTTGATGAAGTTATGACAGTGCAATCCTTTCTGAAGTTCATTTAATCTATAATCAAAGAAGTCTTCATCCACTGCAAATAGCTTTGTGTCACCCATAGACAACCATGCTCCTTTTAAAAGAGAATCTTCCTTCCATAGCAAGATGTAGACAAAGGGGAAGAAATTAAAGGTTAATTTAGCTAATGCTATAAAGCTATCTATCAGTTTTGTATTCCAGTGCGCCATATCACCAAGTACCCTGTCTATACACCCTTAGCGGCCAGTGCCAGGTATTTTTGGTAGGTGGTCTAAGAACCCACATACAAAACTTACCTTCTAAAAGAAGTTCCCTTCTCATTCAGGAAAATAAACTCTGAAAAGCACAGGAATACGTCTCATTCCCAAACTCTACTTATTTATTTTCTCCAAGATTAACAGTACTTTCACCAAAGATGCAACTCCCCCCCCCAAACTTTGCCTCTTTCTGAAGCACAGCTAGATACAATGTCGTGAAGATGCTGCATCCTTAACATCTGTAAGAAACTGCCAAAGCAAATAGTACTTGAGGTGAGGAAAATCAATTTATTGCCAATTAAAACAGATAAAATTAGTGAGAAACAAACATAAATTAAACCAGCACATTCCCCTCATGTTCCTCTCTTTCCCCAGACTCAACTTCACACCTTCAATGCCCAACTGCTCTACAGACCCATAGACCGATATAGATTCAAAACAATATAAGGCGGTGAAGGGCAGTTGCTCATGCTGGTAATTTGATGGTACACACAGTGCAAGACACTGCTACCATCACCACAGCTCTGTAGTTGTGCTGGGCTGTGTTGGGACACAGATACAGGAGCAGAATGTGTGGCAGGTGCTTTCTGCAAGAACTTCTGGAGCAAAGTGGGCAGGGGAGCTCACCCCAGTATGTCCCTCCCCAAGAAAACATAAAACAGTATCTTATATTTCAGTCATGCAAGGAATCAACATCCGGCACAATAAAGCTGAGAGGAGATTTATCCCCAAACATGGGAAACAGGACAATAGAACAGTGTTTTAAGGAGAAATTTTTGTTTCTGTGCCACTCTGCATGGAAAAGACAGTGGGAGAAAGGCAGGAAAGTGGTAGATAAGGACATGGATCTGTTGGAACAAGTCCAGAGGAGGGCCACGAGGATGATCAGGGGACTGGAGCACCTCCCATATGAAGAGAGTCTGAGAAAGTTGGGGCTCTTCAGCCTGGAGAAGAGAAGGCTGCATGGAGACCTCATAGCAGCCTTCCAGTATCTGAAGGGGGCATATAAGGATGCTGGGGAGGCACTCTTCATTAGGAACTGTAGTGACAGGACAAGGGGTAATGGGTTAAAACTTAAACAGGGGAAGTTTAGATTGGATATAAGGAGGAAATTCTTTCCTGTTAGGGTGGTGAGGCACTGGAATAGGTTGTCCAGGGAGGTTGTGAATGCTTCATCCCTGGCAGTGTTCAAGGCTAGGTTGGATGAGGCCTTGGGTAATATGGTTTAGAGCGAGGTGTCCCTGCCCATGGCAGGGGGGTTGGAACTTGATGATCTTAAGATCCTTTCCAACCCTAACTATTCTATGATTCTATGATTCTATTCTATGTTCAAACAATCGTCCCACTCCAAAAATAAAAAGAACAAATGGGAAGGCCAGGGAGAGGTAATTTTATGGCTGTATTATGTTGAAAGTTAGACATGCACTAGAACCTGACATGAAAAACTATGCACCCATTGAATTACTGTGAAAACATTGATTTAAAACTGGCAAAGCCCTCTTTCCACAGATCATCTATTCTCAACAGAAGCAAGGTCACAAAGATTCCCACTTTCTCCATATCCTTCCATGGACAAAACGCCTCAGATGTGGTAACAGCTTTAACAACAGCCAAGAACATGGAGATGTTACACCAGTTTGCATTCAGAAGATAACTTGTGCACTGAAGATAAAAGCAAATATATGCAATTAGCATTCTAGCTTTTATTAGAATTGAGCTCAGAGCACAAATAGCATCAAAATCAACAATAAAAAGCTTTATATTAAAAAAAATGTTTCCCATTTAAAGTGAACCACTTCAGCCAGAAACAAACTCTGCAATCTTGAGCTGTAAACTTTAAGAGCTTTCTATCTCCTGCAAGCAGCTTTTTACAACTTCACTTCCTCTTCTGTTCTTGGCTCTGGTTTCTTGCCAGTTAACTGGAGTACCCTCAGAGGTAAGCGATCCTAAGAAAACATCCAACACACAGTGAACTAAGAGCTAAAAGCAGAAGCCAAGGAGGAACACCTGCACACTTCAGAAAACTCGAGTGTCATCTGTAAGAAACATAAATAATTAATTCCCAATTCTGTCCTATTTAATTTTAGCTTTAAGAGAAATATCTGTGAGAAAAAGTTACATTTATGTCTAACAGAACAGTAACCTGACAAAGCACAACTGAACTTTCAGCATGGTCCTGTAGGAATTATACACTGCACACTTAGATCTAGGATAGAAGATAATCCTTCGGCCAAACTGGTAGCTAATTTGCAAGAGCAGTTTAACAGCAGAAGTTGGGGGGGGGTGGGCGGAGGAGGGAGAAACTGAGATTTGTTTTCCTCCCACTGCTGACCATCTAGCCTTGATGCAACACATTTCGAAACGAACTATGGTTTGTAGATACTGTTACTGACACCCTGCGAAATAACCAGGTCACATCACGCAAATGAGAAGGAAGTGCCCTCATGTAATGGGAGAGGTGGTAAGGATTCTGGTGTCATCCCTGTTCCTATCCCCACCCCTTCCCCTGCTATAATTCTGGTTCTATAACTGCTTTGCTTTTTTCCCTTTTTTTTTTTTTTTTTTTGTGGAAGACCCTCAACACAGTGATTTGCAGTATAGATGGAATCACCTCTAAAGGAAGAAAAGGGCCAAACCTTTCAGACTCCGAACATGGTGGCTTTGGAAGACAGTTTGGAATGATTCCTGTTCTGGATAAAAAGAAAAAAAAAATTGGAAAAGGCTTTGGTTGATTTAGGCTATTAGTACATACTTCTACCCTTGTATATTGTGGTATTTCCTCATAAGGAATTTCTGCAGAAATACATCATCATCCGCTTTAAGTTAGAGCTTACTCTGCGGAAAGAATATCTGAAAGGACTTCAGACAAAAACTCTCCACTGTTGGTTTATTTCCCCTAATAAAACAAGCTTTCATTTACTTTAAGAAAACACACATAGACAACACAAAGATGAGGAGGCAGCACTGGCCTACAATTTCAGTGTAACATGCAAAGATGGTAATGCATGGATAAGCATTCATTAATATTTTGGTACACACTCATTGAGATCTGTCTAAACATAGGCATTTTGTCAGGCAGATCAATAAGCCTAATACTTCTCAAAAGATTTACTTTTATTCATTATTGAAAAATCCTCTTCCTCCCACCAAAGAATGTGGGCTCTATCAAAGACATGTCATCAACCTTTAATCTCATCCGTTCTGTTCCTGCAGGTCCTCCCATAAGATCTTACATACCTTGTTCATGATCTCCATGTCCCTTGGAGGATTGTACAACTTCTTCAGTGGGCAAGCAGAGAGAACAGCTATGTCAGAACACAAAGACAAACCATCACTGTTTCTCAAAGGGTGTGCATTCAGGACTAGCACAGAGAAAGTTAGTCTGGAATGAGGACACCAGGACTGAACTCCCTCTCTCCCACTGATCTGCCAACACTCACATCTCTGTTTCTGGTTCTCCTACTGCCATTTGATTGCCATGCCTAATTACATTTTAAATAGTGTCTAGAGCAAAAGACTATTCCACAAAGAGCAGGAGCAAGTCTCTGCTCTTCCCGGGAGCCACTGAACTATCATATTTAACCAAATGACAAAGCTGAAGTTTTACAAGTATTTTAGTGGCAGTTGATGCTGTTTTGACACTGCTCTGCTGTAGAAGCCCAAGTACGTTAGACAAATGACCAAATAGCACATCCAATAGCATGTGTGTTTTTGCTCTCTCATAGGACCCAGAAACCAATTCTTATGAAATCAGTACGCTATGGACAGATTTTCATTCTCCTATAAGCCTTATCAATCTCTATTAGAAAAAAAGATCAGGAGGAGAGAGAAATTTAATTTGCTTAGAACAGCACGCTCTTGTTTAAGCAGGCAGACTCATTTACAGAAGCTGAATACATGCCAAATGACCAACTGAGAGCTAAGGATGGCTGTAGTAAAAAACACAAATTCCAATTATCCATATTAAAAGATCTGATTACATGTGCCCTAAAATACCTGCACCATTTAACCACAGTGAAGTGTAATTAAAACTAAAGAACTACACATAAACAACTATATTCATATCTCCATTTTCTCTTCCTTTTTTTTTCCAGATACATACAAATCTCATATGCATATGTAACTTTATTAAGCAACCAAAGGTAACTTTTTCAATAAAGAGATTATCATACACGTGCCTTATTGCAATGTTTCTTCTATCTAGCAGAGGCTATTAGACTGCTGATGAGAATTACTCACACAGCATCCAATGCTCCTATTCTTCCATGCAGGAAAGGCTCCTTCGGACAAGAACATTCAGTGTTTGCCCTCAGAAAGCTTTCCATGCTTTTAAAACCCCTTCTGTACTAGAACAGCGTGGGGTCCTAGATGTCAAACACCCTCTAATACTTTCTATGATACAGCAAGTACTGTTTATGATCAGTCCTTTGAAGACTCTCCAGAAAACACATCCAATCCCTTCAGAAAATAAACAAGTAATTTGTCACGTCCATTAGAAATGCACTGAGAGACTAAGGTGGAACAGCTTATATTGCAAAAGAAACGCCAAATACACATGCGCTCCTGTCACGTGATGAGATTTTTGCCTTCCCCCGTTTCTCCCCCCAGATCATACCTTAGTTGTTGCTTGTTGGAGAGACTTGCTGGGTAGTTTCTGACCTATAAAACAATAATAAATATCAACACAGCCTGTTTTACACAGTGCTCGTTTCATCATTAATGAAGTGCACTGTTGCTGGGAGAACACGACCATTACTGATGGGATAGGCTCTGAAGCTGATGCCTGTGAAAGGTTTTTCCAGAAAGGAAGGGCAGTTCAAGGAGAATTTTCTCACCAGAGATCCACAAAGAGCAGTAACTTTTCACAGCACCATCCTCAGCTGTATCACACTTTCTATCCCTAATAGAACAGATTATTCCTGCCTAATCTTCTGAGAACATATCAGTTCGAATAGGATTAAGGCAGCAAATTGTGAGTTTGCCAACAGCCAGCCAGCCAGCTACTATCCACTCAAATGTGAAAGAGGCCAGTTTCTCAATACAAAGTCTTAAGACCTGTCAGCAACTACAACTTTCTCAATTTTTTTTCAGTTGCTGTGTATGTAAAGAGTGTCCTGTGAAATGTGGCTGCCTGATATTAATCCAGGTAAGGATGATAAGCCCCAAAGCAAGGAAAACAATCCAATTAAAAGGAACATATGCCCTTAGGATCCTGGGGAGACAGGAAGAAAAACTGACAGGAGCAAATGTCACCACTATTGTGAACTCACCAGCAGCTCCAACAGTGCAACAGTGAAACATGGAGAATCAGAGGGCCTGAGGGCATAGGGCTTGGGTGGAAACCCTACAAAGTGTGAAGGAAAAGAGACCTGGGTGGTCCATGCTTGAGGTAGGTAGAGCTGCAGCCAGAGCTGAAGCCAGAGCAAGCTAATTCAGCTGGGAAGAAAAGGTGTGTTTTCTGTAGTAACGTGTAAAGGAAAAGAGTCTATGCTCCGTAGTTGAAGCTCCAAGAGGCATTTTTTTCTTCATATTAGAAGATAAGAATGGGCATCTCAGACTATGGGAAGTCATTTACCTGCCTCTGGCACTGACTCAAGCCGCTTTGTGGGTTTTGGGGGCAAGGCTCTTCCATTCCTTTAAATTCCTACCATGAACTCATCCTATGCACTGCTGGCATAGCTTGAGAAGTTGCACTGAGTCTTTGCAATGTACCCACAACTGCTCTCCAGGGCCCCAGAACCCCCAAAGTACACCCCACTCCAGCCCTTCCCCACAGAACCCTTGCTTTTCACACACCTTCAGGAACTTCTTCTCTCTGGTCTCCCTGGTGTTGTCCTACTTGTTCTCCTTCATTCCCAGAAACCACTGCCCTGCTGTAGCTCTTGCATTTCTCCCCATGGGCCCCCATAACCACAACATAGACCATTACTTTAAAAGAAAAAGTAGTTTACATTCGAACAGAAATATTATACATTAGGTTACTATATAAATATAGATATACACATACATATACAGATATATTCCTCTAAGTTTTGTACAAATTGCAACAATCTTTATACCACAAAAAGGACTCATTAACACTACTGGTTTCCATCCAAGAGGCCACCAGCCTTGAACAAGAGCTACGGACGTGTGCCTTTTTATGTATTTTGTACACTTTAGCAAAAAATTATTGTTGTATGAACATACATAAGCACAGCCCTTCTTGTAAAGCCAACTGAGTACTGTTATGGGTAACCAACAATGAAGATAAACTAGAGAAGAATTTGTTCATTTACAGTACTCAGGAGCTCACGATTTCTAGGTTTGCAAAATAACCATTTGAACATAACCACAAGAAAACAAAGTAAACATCAGAAAAACATCTACAATTCCAACACAGTAATAATCAACTGCTTTGCACCAAGCTACACACCTTTCTCTGAAAAATCAGCCTTACATATTTGATTCAAATGAATTTAGTTGATCTGAAAGTATTATTGCTTACTTGTGGGGTTTTAATACACATAAGATTCTTTTATGTCATATTTAGGTGGACTTTAGTGAACACAGGTGTTAAGCTTAATTAGAGAGTGGATATGGATGATGAGTTCGTATTCCTTCATTAGCAGCATGCACAAAGCAAATGCAAACATACTTAAAGAGGAAAGGTTACACTAAATTAAACACCAACACAATAATAAACTGGAATATGTATTTGGAAGACAAAGAACTGAAATGCTGTGAAAAATGAAAAAAATGAAAACAAAAATCTGAGTATTGCCTGAAGAAGCATTTCAACTTTGCTCAATGACTAGAATAGCAACTCTCATCCCCAGCTTTTAAAAACAACTAATTCTGTACTGCTTCTTTAAATTTCTCCCAACTTTTTGTTCTATTGTTTTCAGGGTACTGTGCAAATCAGGGTAGATTATAAAATTAATTTCACAGCCTGCAATTCAGGATGTTCTAAAAGAGTATTTCCTCCAGCTGTGAGCATATAAAAGTACCATCAGGAATACTGTTCAGCACAGGATGGGACTGTAGCTCATTCTGTGCTGCGATGAATAGTGACTGCTAAAGAACAGACGTGTTAATGAGGAAACTAAGAACTGATGAAAATGAAACTTCTCTTTCATTAAGCTTTTAGTCCAACCACAAATCTATTGTCTGCTTTGAAGAGAACTGAAACTGAAACAACCTCTTGCTGATAATCTTTAGCTGTAATTCATTATTTTGGAAATAAGCATTCTCAAAAATGAAGCATGATTATAAAAAAACCCAAACCAAACAGTATTACTGAGAAAGAGGAATATACTTTGGAATGCACTAGTTTAAACTCTAAGAAAATACAAAGGTGATGGAGTCACTGAACACAGCAGCATAGAAGCAGGTACCTGTTCTGGTACATAGCTACCAAGTTGGGAAAGAAAAGGTGACTGCTGACTGTGTGCTCCAGAACTATGACTGCAGCAGAGAACATCCATTTTGGACATATTTTCACAATTAATAACAACTATAAACCTAACAAAAGTGTGAACCTTGTGGGATTCCACCTATCCAGAAATACCACAAAGCAAGTCAGTGCAGAAACAAAATATGAAAGACTCCAAAGAACTGGAGATTCTCTATGCACTTGCATCATAAGATACTGACTCTTATTTAATAAGAGCATGACCCTGTGGGAAAATTCTAATTTAAGCTAACCAATATATATCAGCTTTAAATGAATAGCTTTAACAGTGTTAGTTAACCTCACAGAAGTTAATAAATGTTAAGGTAAGACTAAGATATAGCACTCGCCTAACAGATGCTGCACTGGGAGCCCAGTTCAATGGGAAACTTTTGAAAGGCTTAGCTTTCAGTACTCAAAAGAAAATTGCCACTACTTAGATGATGCTTGATGTATGTTAACAAACTTAACAATTTAATCTTTATGTCACATAATACTTCTAACATTTTATCTCTACATAAATGGATCAATCTTGTTCAGATTTTTTTTTCTTTTTTCAGATTTTTTTTGTGTGTGTTTTGGTTTACTTATTTTTATTCTTAAGTCCTCAGGCTGCATTCTTCTGCAGCAGGCAAAGAACAAAAAAAAAAGAATAATTTTTTGAGCGAAATCTCAACCACTTAGTAGGAAGTAGTAACAGAACTGCTGATACTGCTGCATACAAACCACTCTGAATATTGCTCTAAGAATTCAACATTTGAAGTAAACAATGCCATTGTTTAATTTGATACCTATGTTGGCATCAGTTTCATTTAATTCTTTAAATGGATTCCAAGTTATGTGTAAGTTTTTTTTCTTAAAGAAACATGTCTCTCACACATTACACAGCTCAATGCTTGTCACTTATTATGGCTTTGGCTTAAGTATTGCTAAAAGGCATTTCCTTATCATATTCATTTTTATAAAGATCCCTGGTAATATTTGAAGTATTACAGACCACTCCAGTCTTAGGACCTGCCACAGTTGAAAAAGATGAGTTTGTTTTCTGAACGCTACAGTGACAGCACACTTGCATATATTGCTTGAATTTATATTACTTTGTGTTGTTTTCTTGGGCCTTTCTTTGTTAGAAATGTATCCATAAACCCTACATCATGAGTACCAGCAGGTTAAATTATATTTATCTGAACTATTAAATCATATTTACCTGAACTAACAGCATTAAGTGCATAAAGCAAAAGATAGATAAGCATCATTTTCCATGAGACAAGATTCCTGCATTTAGTTACGACCAACTGCTAATATAGTACCGCTGCAAATGCTGCATGCGGCAATGAAACGGATTATAAAGCCAGAACATAAGTGCAAAGATGTCAAAGTTGAAAACATTCACCATTACAATTCACACACTTTTCTTCATCATACCGCTTTACATTCACCTGGGAATCTCACCTTTCTCCTCTCCTTGATCTTCACACCATTAACATTATGATCAGGTCAAAGTTGCATTTGCTTAAGCATCTATGTCCTTCATCACTTTGAAATTTAGCATCTTGGACCTTCATTTTGTCACAAAACCACCGCTGTATAGATACACTGTGCTGTTGGATTCTGTGGTCTTGGAGCTGGAGGAATCTATGGTCTCTGTAGTGCCATAAGAGTCGAAAGTCTCAAGGAGAAAAGTAAACCCAGTACTGTGATCCATATTCTAAAGCTAAGGAATTAAATTGTGGAAGACCTTTAGAAATGTTGACCAAAATGGGCCATTTGGATAACATCCAATTAGTCAAAAGCTTGAAACAGAAGTGAGGTGCTGTTCCACAGGGCAACTGAATGACCTGGCATTGGCAGTGAGCCACATCAGTCATAAAAGAGCTGTCAGAACTACTGTAAAAATATGCCTAGTCTGAATGTCACAAAACAATTTAAAAAGAATGGCATTACTTTGAGAGCACCTTTCCATGTGGAGTTCTCTGATTTGAATAAATCCTTCCAGCCTTCACAGACTTAGACAGGTGAGGAACCATGGAAGCCTCTGATTTTATCTGGCTCCACAGACAATACTTTTTCTCTTGGCTCTTGTTTAACTTGGCTCACACAGATAACTCCCTCTGCATTTTCTTCAGCTTAAAAACAAAACAAAGAATAATCAAACATTGAAGTTCAAACTCCACTGATAAGCTTCAGCTACTTTTCTTTTAAATTAAAAGTATTTCAGGAACCCAAGCTCATAGGCAAGGCATCTGTGAAGTTAACTGCTTCATGGTCAAACAGTAGGTCAGACTAAATTTAACTGCTGTTTAGTTTGACCTACTGTGCTACAAGACATGGCAAGTTGATATGAATTTACTGCAGTAACAGCTCCCTTGAGTTAGAATATTTAAAACATTTTACAAAAAGCCATAAAAAAGTATGTTTGGAGATATAAAATTATGCTCATGCAACATGTCTTTCCTCTTTCCCACGAAAAGATAAAGCAACCCACTTACTTGGTTCTGTTTGGTTGTTTTTATCATTTCCAGGGGAAAGGAGGAACGGAAAACTAACTCAATGACTTACACTTCAGGCATAACTGGCCACTACAGTGACTGCATGTAAATTTCCAGCAGAAATAGCTTATTCTTAAGTTAGCACCTGGACAAGAGAAAGTCTAAAACATGCAGGATAATTTTAACCAAGCCCACATGGGTGTTAAATGTAATATATACACACAGGAGGAAAAAAGCACCTTGAAATGCACTGTGACTGAACTGCTAAATTCAAGCGTACAGGGTATGTGTTCATTTTATAGGCAACTCCTCTACAACATAACTTAGGAATGGCACCAATATTCTCAAAATTTCCAAATCTAGGCTGGTGATGACTGAAACCTTGATCAGAAAAAGAAAATCCCAAAGGAACAGTCAGTTTAGTCCTTGCAGTTATATATAATCTTGTATTTGACTACATTTCTCTTTATGTAAACCAGTGTTACTTAAAATGCACTTACTACACTCATCACTTACAGAAATTTTTTGAGAGGCATCAACATCCAGATTGAACAAAAGGGTTAAACAACTGAATGGAGAAGGTGCATTTGATAACCTCTCTTGAGCTTGTTTTACCCTGAATAAAACCAGATTTTTTCAGGAGAGCAGTCAAATTCAATTATAAAAGGGGAATAAAAAACCCAAACAGTTACACATTTGAGTACACAGCAGGCAGAAAATCCCTTATCTTTAACTTTGACAATACTACCACAATAAAATACCCCAATATTACTTTAACATGTATGAATTTCAGTATATTCCTTCATATACCCTTTATCTCTTTTTCATTTCTTCATGTAGTCTTATATTTCCATTAGAGAATTTAGTACAAATTCTGTTTTGCTGACCTGCAAAAGCCACCAGGGCACATGGAAATAGTTACCCCTATGGCATTAGGAAGGTGCAGGTTATGATCTAGCACATCTTTACCTGAATGTTCCTGCAAAACTACTCAAGAGTCATCTTTTTAGAACTCATAGATGACAAGATAAAAAGAAATAACAAAGCTAGCATTCAGACTCTCTGGATAGTCAAAAGGATATGTTGCAATCATCTATATATGCTCCATATCCAATAGGTTTTCTTCACCAAGAATCAGAAATCCTTCTTTGAGAATGCAAGCTTCCATTCTCCATCAGGTTCCATGTCTGAGAATCCAAAGACTGTATATTTAACAATGATTGTAAGGAGCCTTCTATTTTGATAAAAAGTTATTTATAATATTTATTGTGTTCTTTTTTAAAGCATATTTTCAAACAGAAGCCTGAAATTCCAATAAATTACAACTCCAACTGATCACTTTTAAAGCCTATTGATGACTCCAGGGTCCTAGCAAAAATTTAGTAAAAGAGTAATTCAGAAATCCTCTGAGATGGTGCAAAGAAAGAAGTAATCAAAACTCTTGCATTCCCTTCCAAAAAGTTCTACCTAGATTCAATATTGGTTATTTTCTATTCTTATTTTTCCTTTTAAAAATATTTTGAAGATAATTTTCACTAAATGGATATCATTTGGCAAAAAAAATTGTGTTCATTGAGTAAGTGGTTATTTGGTCAAAGTAAGCAATGCATAGTTTAACTAAAGTCATCTTTTTATAGAAAAACCTAGATTTTGGTTTGGTTTTGTTCCTTCCCTTACCCTCCCCCACTCCTGTTTTCACAGTAGAAATTAATTCAAATCAGCTGAAAGAAGTCTATACAGGAGTTCCCCAGTATCAACGCATTTCTTTCTTCAAGACACACAGAAGAAAATCTATTTTATTTTCTATATTTACATATTATTGGCAAGACTGCAACTTACCAAGTGCTGGATGGCTGTCCACAATCTGTACTGGAATAGTCTGTACATCTCCCAAGAGAATCTGATGGACTCCTCCTCCTAGGCTTCTGGAATCATCCACCCCTCCAACTGCTACCAACTGGCTCATGGTGACCAGATTCTGATCAGGGCCAGGTGGAGTCCCAAAAGCAGAGGTAGTAGTGCTATGCTGTGTTAGGTCAGCACCTGCTTGCAGACTGTGTCCCTGACTAAGTAATAGAGGATGGTTGGTTACTGCACTCCCTGTGGAACCTAGGAGACTTGCAGGGCTGGGAGGGGAATGGTTATTTACAGCTATCAGGGCTGTTGATCCATTTGTAGAGGTAAAAGTTGACTGCAGCTGTAATCCCTGTGAAAGAGAAGGCAGAAGAACTAACATACCAGTATTTACAGCAGAATTTTGCATTTAATGAGATTTATTTTGCAATGCTGGAACTGCATAGTACATAATCTCTTTTCAACAGTCAATCCCAGCAACCTTAGGCTAAAGTTGTATTAGAAAATAATTAGTACAATGGTATCCAAAAGCCTCTCAGAAGACTACTTACAGCCATAAAGCTCTAATTTCAGACTGATTTTGTTTCAAATCATTTCCCAGTACCACCCATTCACACAAGAGGTAGGTACCAAAAGCATACTGACAAAAAACCCAGCTCCTTACTGCAGACTGTATGTCTAGGGAAGAGAACACACATTTCACTGGGGTCCAGGAAGCATGAAGGTAACTTTTCAGAAAGAAGAGAACCACCTTTAAAGGCAGATGAGCTTTAGAAGCAGCTCTTTTAGCACAACATTCTTAACTCCAGTGTTCAGCCTTTCAAACTGGAAATTTACAGATCTGAGCTGGGAGCAGTTTTAAGATTTTAACGTATTTTAAGAGGCTGGAGAAGGATTTAAAAGGAATAAGACTGACTTATCTCCCCTCAGTTTTGCAGCATTTTTGTTATTAAATAGCTGGAACATGTAGAAAACAAATAGGTGCTTGGCTAGAGCAGAAGCCCACTACCTTCATCATCTTTGATTTGCCTTCAGATTTGCCTTCAAGAGACCCTAACTAATTTCAAAATGTCAAAAGATGATAATGGGGTCCCCTGCACCACAACTATATGCTAAATGTGACATGCAAAAGAGGCCAAAAAGAAGAGTTGACAGCTATTTCAAAATGCACATTATCCAGCCAGTGTTTGGGTTCATTAGCTGAGATGGAACTTGCTGTTCTCAGCTTGCCTTCCCAGCGCAGAACATTTGACATTCTGTAAACAACTTGACTGTACCTGAAGTTGTGCAAATATCTTGGGCTGAAATGAAGAGAGGGAAGACAATAGCTGAGCTGTTTCTGGTAGAAAGGACTCCCCACTCTGGTTGGCTTCTGCTTTGGTGACAAGTGACTCCCCTGCTGAGCTCCCTACAGTGCAACAGAGAGGAGGCAGACAGTTATGACAGATTTCTTCCCATTTAAAAGTCTCCTCTGCAAACGGAACAAACCCCTTCAATCTCAATATAGACATATAAAAGAAACATATATACATAAATGCTATTTTCTTTGCATAAGAACTTAGATGCTAAATTTAAAAAGCTGTGTATGAGAAAAAGACAATACTGTAGGAAGATTGTATCTGTACCCTACACTCTGCTTCAAATTTCTAGTTATAACATAAAAGTTGTCAGTTTACTATCAAAGCAACAATCAAACAATTTGACAATACACACACCTCAGTAAGGGCTCTAATAAACAGGCATAAAAAAAAAGAAGGGGTTGTCTCTGAAAATGAAAATCTACACTGGAAATCCTGTAAGTCTCACCACTCCCTTCCAAACATCTTTGTGGAATTAAGGTAATTCCTATGCAGTATCACACCAAAAGCCCATTTATCTGGAAGTCTTTCAGCCTACAGATTACACTATATCCTCAAAATTCTTTAATGCAAGAAGGACAGACTTCATTCCCTGACTACTTGTAAAAACTGAGATTCACTTGTAGCAATTTCTGCAAGAAAACTTCCTATGGAATCAATTCCATTTCCTGTTTGATCTATGTAGAACTCGGTTCAGGTTTATCTAGACACAAGTAGACATTGCTTAGCCTTTTATTTCAGTTTCACTGTTGTAACTGTAAAAGAAGAGCTTGCCCTGAGCATGTAGATTAGCTTGGTGAATGGAAAAAAAGGAGAATGGCCAACTGCAAAAAGCTTTGTAACAGGAATTCATAAAGAAGTTTCCAGCAATCTAAGTGAATGGAAACACATTTTTCAACATATATGCTGATCTGCAAACTCTAACTCCTTATCATAACTGACTATAAGACATACTCTACTAATATCCTTCAATACAACTACTTCCAATATTTAGGCCCTTTTTAATACTACACAGAAGCCCCATATGCATATGTGAATATTCAAGACTCCATGTCCATTTGTGAAAATTCATAAGTAGGAAGAGATGGCAGTTCTTTTCTTAGGTTGTATTCTACACCAACATGCCTAGGAATAAAGATAATAGTTCAACTCCTAATCTACCCATTGCTTGGGTTTTCAGTATGAATGCCAGAATTGAACAAACAAGCAGAATAGGTACTTTAGATCACTTGTCATTATACTTCATAAAAGATGTAAAAGGGAGCACACAAATTTGACAATTACAGTGGATCTTAGACCTAGAACAGAGAAAGCTGTATCTCATGGAGATAGGGAGTTCTGCTCAACAAGACAAGCAGCTAGGTTTAGCTCTGTTATCATTTGATTTCATAAACAATAAATTTGTCTCCAAGTGAACACAAGTTGAAATGAAAAAAAAAAAAAAAACCAAACCACAAAACCCACAAAAAAACCCCACAAACAAAACCCCAACATAAACAAGCAGTTGTTTGAAAAGCCAGCGTTGTTTTCCTTTGTTACCACTTCATATACATTAACAAGAGTTCAATTTTTTAGGCTTATTTTTTTGTTTAGACTTGTAATACAATTATAAACATGTTTTTGCAATGTGTACAAACACATACCCACATACATAAGGGGAGACAAGATACGCTGGAATTAGATTAGCTGCTTGTATTTACTGACTTGGTGCACATGTGTAGAAAGGGAAACAAATGCAATTCTCTAGCTTCCTCTAAAATTCACTAGATGGACGCTTACATATTTGATAGGATGTGAAAGACAAAAAAGCAAGAATTGATCTTCCTGAATCTTCTCCAGTATTCAAACATACTAAAAAACATTCCTGCTGAGCTCTATCACAGCTGTTGAAGGCACAACTACTCTGTGTCTTTCCATAAAAGTGCAGTAATGCAAAGATTAACAGACATGCAAGCTTAAGCACAGTAGGCCTGCTCAAATTGCAGATTCCTTTTTTCCTAAAACAGGCTTCCTTAAGAAAGAAGAACACTATTCAAACTGAGCTTAAAAACTTTTGCCTTCTGACAGTTGTCAATAACAAAGTTCTTACTCTAAGAGCACCAAGCATGCATGATGCCTTTCAGTTCAAATTGATCCATTGCAGCAAGGCTAAAATAAAAGTTAGGAAAAAAAAACAAGACAAAGCCCAAACACTGGCACATAAATCAGGTAAATCAGGTTCACCAAGTCATCTGTTAGGGTGGTGAGGCACTGGAATGGGTTGCCCAGGGAGGTTGTGAATGCTCCATCCCTGTCAGCTTTCAAGGCCAGGTTGGACAAAGCCCTGGGTGGCATGGTTTAGTGTGAGGTGTCCCTGCCCACGGCAGGGGGGTTGGAACTTGATGATCTTAAGGTCCTTTCCAGCCCTAACTATTCTATGATTCTATTTAGGAGAAATCACACAAGTGAACTAAATCTCTGGGAGTTTATATTTCCTGCTACAACAAAGATAAGAAATAGGTCAGGAAGTGACAGTGATGTGTGGAGAAAGGACTTTACAACCAATCAGCCAATTAGAGTTCTAAAGTAGGTATGTCTATTCAGCACTGGGCAGCACAGGGGTATCCCATCAAAGTCGAGTGTGTCGTAGCCACCCATCCTCCAAACATATATAGCATTGTGGTTACATACTCATGAGATTGCTTATACATATTCACAACTTTGTCCCCTGCTTCATGTGATAATTAGTATTTCCACAAACTCCTCCCACTGCTCATGCACAGTGCTTTTTGGTGGTGGTCACAGAGGGGTCGTGGGGATGAAGGCTAGCGGCTCCTCTTCAGCACCACAAGTAACCTTTTGGTCTTGGCAGGCTGTCCAAACCACAAAGCTGGCTTATACCTGTTCTCTTCTTTTCCCAGCTCAGTCTCCCTGTGGATTGGCTGATCTTAAGAGTTACAAATGTAGCTAACTTTTCATAAGTGTTAAGTCCCACACTTCATTAACCCTTAGGTTGCACTAACAATGCGATTAAGGTATATTATCATTAATTACATTAACAATAAGAACTAATTACCCAGCCAGCAACCAGTTTTAAATCTTAGGACTCCCCTATCTCAACAGGGGGCAAAGTGGAAAGAAACCCAAACACATCAGGACTTCTGGCAAGAACCACAGTGAAACATAACTGCTGACAGATCTTTAAACATGACAAATGTGGCAGTGCCCCTTTGGTCCCTGTAGGCTACCAGCTGTTTGGAACAAAAGGTACCCACCACCATGTTCCAGTTAAATGGGGAAACAAAATGGCAATGCCACTGAGATTAAAAACATTTAAGAAGCCTGCAGCAGCATCTTAATGCATGCAAACAATTAGACTTGTCCACCTTGCTGCAATCATATCCCTACTAAAAGCCAACAAATTTTCTCATGAGTTTCGTATACAACCTATTAATTGAGGGATGGGGAAAGCATCCACAAACATGCAGAAAGTTCTTTTCGTGTCACACTAGAAAAAATGTCCTTGAAACCTGAGGAAAAAGGCAGAATAATATAATTTTTATTATCAGCTACCATGATCCAACGGAGCATCTCAGCCCATGTGTAATCCTAGCTACACTAGCTAGCAAGTAGATCTGTTTTAGTACATATTTTGAAGTCAAAATAATAGTAGGAACCCACTTTCAACAAAGGACAATAGTGTAACTAGCATCTTCAAAATAACCAGACCTTCAACCATGAACACATAAACCTAAGTTTCTATAGAAATCTACACTATCTACATTCTGGTTTTGATACAGAGTGGGAAGAAGGTTAATTGCTGGGAAGAGATGCTACTTGGGCTTCACACGTTAATAACGACATTACACCACGTAAAGAACTGAAGAAACATCTCTCACAGCCCTGCTGCCACCAAACGCAAGTTTCTATTTCTATTCTAACTATTAAGGGAAAATAGAAAAGAGTGCTCTCAATCCTGACAACAGAAATATCATGTTCATTTTTCAGGACCTAATCCTATCAGCAGAACTCAAGCTAATGACTCCATAAGGAATCCCAATATTCATTCAAGGGGTTTTTATCAAGATAGTTAAGCACATGGGAAGCGCAAACCATCAAGGAACTCAAGTACCCAGATGAGTCCTGGGTATTGTGGGTCCTGACAGACGCATCTGTTCAGTAGCAATTTAATTATCTTTACACAGGTTTTATTAGCACCTTTACCCTAGGTAAAATGTTGTTTCTAAATAACCATCCCATTAAAATCTTCAGTTGCTTTAGGATGCTAAACAAAAGCCAAGATTATAATTTTCATACTTCTGGCAACCCCATCACACTACATGTATTTTTTGACGTATGCAGTCACATAGTTAAAAAAAATAGTATGCTAAAATAGATACACCAAAATAACCCTTCTTAAGTTTAGCTGAGCAGCAGAACACAGCACCAGCCTCACTGGAAGGAAACTGAACTTCTGTGATTTAACTAATGAAACAGATCACATTTGGAGACAGCAAAGTTATTAATGGAGTCCTACCATCTGAAGGTGGCGAGGCAAATGTAACAGTCACTGTTTCTGTGAGAACATTCCCACTGTCTGTGGTCCACTGCAGCTGAAAGGAAAAGGATCTCAGTTCTCAGAAAGGGTGCAAGTTTGTCTACTACAGGAACACAGGCTTGAAAGGACACGTAGCAAAACAGCCTGAAACTACATTAATTTTCTTGTAACTATGCAGCAACTTGGAAGCTCCTTGTTTACAGAAAAACCCAACCAACCAACCCCTCAAAAAAAAAACCCTAACCCAACCTGTAAAAGACATTTTAACTTACAGTGTACCAGGGAAGGCTAAAGTCTGCTCATGACAGTTCAAAGACTTTAAACCAGAAAATAGTCAAACCATTTGGCTAACTAACAAGGATCACTCACTCATCTGGGCCAACAGCAGTATAGGGAGAGAGAAAAGACTGATGACACAACATCATTTAACAGTACAGTTTGTCAAAGCTGATTTTAAACCAGCAATTCCTTAGTAGTCAGCTTCATAACTAGGAAAACAAGGATCACTGTGTATCCTTTATCACTCAACAGGTGGAAGAAAATTAAGGAACACCACATTAGAGTTACCAACCATTCTGTATCTACTTCATGCTTGCTTCACTTGCTATAAGTGCATTTATTAGTATCTACGTATTCAAATCATTGTGCAAGCCCTAATTTAGACTACACCCAAGACGTACTTCATCCCCGTTTTTCAGATATGGAAAAGTAACTTCTCCAAAACACAATGACAAAGCCATGAATAAGATTTTCTGACGTGTCAATTTCTCTACACCATGTGGTTTCCAGCTCATGCAGCATCATGAAGTGCTGGTATTGTATAATTTGTCAATCAACTAATAGCAATCTAATGCTGATAAATACTGAATAAGGTCAGATGGTTTTATTAATATTTAATCCAATCTTGTTCAGCCAGAGATTCCACTGAAAATACTGCTGCTGGAAACATTAAGTCATAGATAATTTTGGATTAAACACAGCTAAGTGGTAAAAATTAAAATACAATTTCCAGTATTTAACTGGAAAAATCAGAAAGAAACACAAAGGCCAACATACTGTTGCTGGGATACTTTCTGAATTATACACCATCTCGCTGTTCCTGAGGGACTTCTGCACTTCATGAATGTGGTTCTTGATGTCATTCACAGTGGGAAAGAAGGACAGGTTATGTCTTTCTGGCACTTCATCAGGCTTGAATAATTCTCTTTCCACATACTTTCTGTCACATGTTAAAGGACATTAAAATATGCATATATAAAATATACTGTGTTATCTCCCTCTGTTATAGAGACTCCTACCCATCCCTCCCCTTCTTCTAACAAGAAGACAAGAGCAAGCTAGATGATCTTCTGACTCAGTTCATCTTGTTCATCTGCTAAAGAGTAGGGAACTAAAAATCCCCATTTACTTAACTAACTTTAAAAAGGACAACAGCTCTTAGCAGCTACCTACAACGAAATGGAAAAAGAAGACAAAAGCTGGGAAAAATCGGTTCTCATGACATATAGGGAATATATTCAGTAATGCATCAGCACTGCCCTTTATCTGCAAACCAAATTATTCAAATGCAGAAGTAGATACAGCACTACACACTGAGAACATGACAGAAAGTTCTGTACCTCAGTTGCTTCCTCACTGCATAGACCTGCTCTATTCCCTGAGACACCAGTTCTCGGATCTTGTCTGCTACTTGAGGATGAAGTCGGGAAGGCAGAATACAGTTCTCATCTCCAACAACTTCCTCCTCCTCCTCAGGAGAAGGCACAGAAAATTGGGAGGGTGAAGAAGGGAGGCAAGATGTTTCCATTTCATGATATTGGTGGGCTTGCTGAGTGGGTAACTGTACATACCACCTGGCAAGAAGGAAAGAGTTTCTATACATAACTCTCAAGCAAAGGCAAAAAACAGAGTCTCTTGGAGGAACAGTCTGACAATCAAAATCAACCCAAGTAGAATGCCTAAAGATTTTACAGTCTCTGAGCTGGAAGATACTGCATTCTAGTGCTCAGAGCCCTCTCACACCCGTCAATGCAAAGTAAATCAGCTCAATCCCCCAGGTAATACAAGCATTTATATATGTTCCTTGCATGAAAACATCTGTTGGAAGTTTCACAGCTTGGTGCTTAAGACATTTCCCGAATTAATACTCCAGAACCACAGAAGTCTTATGGACATTGTGGCATTTTTTTTTTCCTATTGATATTAAGCAAGAGCCTTCATAAAGTGACTAAAAAAAAAAAAGGAAACCAAGCAAATTACTTTTTTTTTTTTTTGATTCATTTGTCAAGATAAAAGAAAAAGAAAATATGGAAGTTTCACCTGAGGACACCACCAGCATCTATCAAGTTCTTCTTCAGCATGTTGAATGCTTTCTCCTGCTCCATTCTTATGATTTTCTTGTCAATTTTAGGGTCAGTAGGAACCCTGTATTCCGGAAACTTCTGAACCTTTTTAATATAGATCCTTCCAGGCGAGGATAAAAAAAAAATTGTCCTTCAATATACTTGTCCTTAGGGGGAGGAGGCAAAACCCCACCTACTTCATATCAGATATTAGTATAGGGAAAGTTCAAACAGTGTCGCAGGGTGTGAGGAATCCCAAAGAGAACTATAGAATTCTTAAGCACACATCAACAAAGACTGATGCAGATGGATGCAGACAAAAACACTTGTGGCTGTCTGGAAGCCACTCAGCCAGAGTGATTTTGTACCTCAACAAACACATTCTGTCCCTCAGTATAACACCATTTCTGAAGAGGCTTCAGCCAGCTTGAAGCCAGAATTGAGCACATACACACCTAGATGCAACTGGACAGGTAAATGCACTCTTAGCTCAGTAAGAACTGAAGAAGCACCCAGGAGGATGCCCAAAAATAAGGCAAAAAACTTGGATAAGGAGAAAGTCCCCAGTGAAAAGGAAGAACTGTAACTCCTTCAGAAAATAGGACATCTGCTAAATTAGGATTATTGATATAAGTGTAATTAAAAGCCTGAAGGAAAAATAACAAATAGACTATAAAGTTTTAGACTAAAAATGGTCACTAAAGGACACCACAGTAACTACCATCCAGGTAGATAACAATTCACACTTGTGCATCATATCCTGATGTATTGCTACTTTGCATTTGGCCAACCTATCAAATCTCAGCCTTATTCACTTCCTTCTTCCCTCTAAATGAGTATCAGCCTCAAATTAAAGGAGACAAAGCTAAGAGCTACAGTGCGTATCAGCCATCACCCCCAAACAGTGCTCTGTCAAGGCTCACAGAAAGAATAATTTTTTAGGATGCCAAGTTGCTCTTTCAGCTGTATAGACAGTTCTTACCTTGCTGGACAAGTGGCTTTGTACAGATGGCAAGAGGTGCCTTCCTGCTCACCAGCTTTTTTGGGCTGGAACCCTCTCCTCCTTGGCCCATATTGGCACTCCATTACAATGGCTCTGCTTCCTGGGAACAGAAAGTAATGTGCTCCGTTTATTCAAACAACCACTGAAGTTATTACAGTAAAACAACACTAAATAAGAGATGAGAGTTACAAAACAGTTGTTTACCATCAGACTCTTCAGAAGGCAGAACACTCAAGTGTATAAAGCATTCAAATACAGTACAAATGCTACTCTCACAGCATGAAAAGGACACAGACCATTTTTCAAAGCATTTCCCAACCTTAGTACACCTCACAACACTCCTGCAACATATATGATGGCAAATATTGGATTCTGCCCTGCTGAACACCAATAGAGGATGAACAGTCTTGCAAGTTATCAAAGTAGCACAATGCTGGTAACAAACATAACAGAAGCAGAATCCCCAAAATAACCAAGAAAATCCACAGCTGAAGTCAAAGGTGTACTGGTTTTGGCTAGGATGGAGTTAATTTTCTTCAACATAGCCAGTATAGGGCTATGTTTTGGATTTGTGCTGAAAACAGAGTTGATAACACAGGAATGCTCTAGTTACTGCTGAGCAGTGCTTAACACAGAGTCAAGGCCTTTTCTGCTCCTCATCCGACCAGTGATCAGGCTGGGGGTGCATAAGGGGTTGGGAGGAGACTCAGCTGGGACAGCTGACCCCCAATGACCAAAGGGATATTCCACACTGTACGACATCATGCGCAGTGTGACATACTGTTTATAGCTGGAGTAAGAAGCAGGAAGATATTCCAGGTTTCTCTTCCCAAGTAACTGTTATGTGTGATGGAGCCCTGAGCTCCTGGAGATGGCTGAACACCTGCCTGACTACAGGAAGTGGTGAATTAATTCCTCGTTTTACTTTGCTTGTGCACATAGCTTTTGCTTCACTTATTAAACTGTTTTTATCTCAACCCACAAGTTTTCTCGCTTTTACCCTTCCAACTCTCTTCCCCATGCCAGCAGGGGTAGGTGAGTGGCTGTGTGGTGCTTAGCTGATGGCTGGAGTTAAACCACACCAAAACCTCAGGAGCTATTTCCAGCCTCTTTTCTTATATCAATATTTCAGGCCATGCTGCCTAGCAATTCTTAGCTGCAAGTCTGACCTACCTTATCTGCTAAATAACACTGTTTCAGCATGGCACACACACACACAAATCAGACAGGCTTAAACAAATACTGCTGGGCTATAAATCTGAAGCAAGTGACTTCATCCAGTCAGACCTCTAACAAAAGGGTAACAGGCACAGCACTTAAAGTGGTCAAGAAAGGAACTTTTTCCAGATTTCTTCCACATCATGTTTAGTTATATTTTGTTCATAATTCATATATTCCAGTGCACAGGCAAGGAGCTGCCTCTAACATGTGATACAACCAAAACCTTTTAAAGTATCGCAACAGCAACATAATATGTTTCCATAAGATATCCAGTGATTTACTGCTTTAGACTGTGACATTAAAAAATAAAAAAAAATAAATATCAATAAAACAATGCAACTAAAGTTAAGAGAATTATGTATAACAAACATATTTTTTGTCATTTTTAAAAACAAACTTAAAATTGAAGATCTAGGATTGAAAAGACTTCAACAGCTGTCCTGGTTTCAGCTGGGAGAGCTAATTTTCTTCCTAGTAGCTGGTACAGAGCTCTCTTGGCTTTAGTCTGAGAACAACACTGATAAAACACCCTTGGTTTAGCTGCTGCTAAGTAATGTTTACCCTGATCAAGGACTTTTCAGTCTCTCATGAGCTGCCACTGAGGAGGGGGCACAAGAAGCTGGGAGGGAGCAGAGTCAGGACAGCTGACCCAAACTAGCCAAAGGGATATTCCATACCACAGAGCATCATGCCCAGTATATAAACAGGGGGAGCTGGCCAGGAGGCACCAATGGCTGCTCAGGGACTGGCTGGGCATCAGTCAGTGCGTGGTGAGCAATTGTACTGTGCATCAGTTGAGGTTTTTTCAGGGCAAAGGGTTTATTCCTTCCTCACTCCCTCGCTATTTCATTTTAAAAACTTATTAACTATTATTTCAGTTATTCAACTATTCTTATCTCAGCCCATGGGTTTTTAACTTTTTTCAGATTCTCCTCCCCATCCCACTGGGGATGGAGGGAAGCAAGCAAGCAGCTGCTGGCTGGGCTTAAACCACTACAGCTTTAATTTAGTCCTTGTTAATATAAATCTCAAGGAATTTGATGGGGTCCTTGTTTTACAAAAGTATCAACTATACAAAATAGTTATTAATAATAAAGATTTTGATGATTACTGCCTGTTTCACACTATAGGGAGCTACTCAGCTTCTCTATATTTTCCCACAGCTGAAGCACAGCAGGGCAGGTATTACAGACTGGTACCACTTAACAAAAGGGATAAATTCCTGGAGAACAGCGCTTTTGTCCTGCACAGTTTAGAATTCAGTTATCTTGGATTTAAACTGCTGTTCAGTACATCATATTTGCTGCCTCTGCTTTTCAGGTGAAAAGGATTTTAATGGATGTTTTTCATAGAACAGTTATAAACTGAACTTAAACATATTGGAAATACAACACTTTAGATATATACATAACATCTCTGGGGATCTGAGCAAAGCAAAAAAATACTAGTTTAATAAACTCAGTCTCTATTGGACTACAACTTGAAAGGAAAAAACCAGCAATGTGTGGTTTTGCTCTAAACATCTTACTGCGGGGAAACTCATCTATCAGGCAGATCAAACAGAAAGCTAAAGATGTCTCAAAAGCATTTTGGGGAAAAAATAAAAGTGTAAGTTGGCTTGGATTTGTTCTTAGCTTTCTTATACCTCAGTTTATGGCTGAAGCTTTAAAACTGGTGCTATCATTTCACTTTTTCAGTTACTTTCAGAAAAAACCCAACCAACAAAAAAAACCTAAACCAAAATACATGCACATAACCTACATTCCAGTTATTCACGATCTCTATGGAACAATTAAAACCTGGTCATTTGATGTCTGCATGAACTCTGTAATTTCACATATGCATTGCACGAGCTAAATACGCAATTCCCAACCTATGGAATCTGCGCATTCATTTTAAAACCCCAAAATCTGTCTGCTGAGGTATGCTAATGTTTATTTTGTTCTCTTACATTTGTTTTTTTCAAAGGGTGCCATTTAAACAGTTCATTGGCTCGTATGGAACAAACTCTTCAAAGGTCCTCCAAGTTAGGCAAGACTACTCAAATAAGCTCTTACCCTTACAAGAACTTTCACATCCTCATAGAGCAGACGGGACCTCCACCTAAAGATCTCATCACAAAAACTCCCATCAAATAGTACTTAACTGATTTATTTCTCAAGAACAAAAGCAAATAATCACAGCAAAACATAATCCTATGGTTTCAAGGAAACAAGCTCCTCCTGACTGTGTCACAGAAGAGCCCAAGCTGCTCTTTTTGTGTGTTTGTGCCTTGACTTCACCAGCACTAAGGAACACCATAAAGACCCTTCTTTATGGCCACTTGGCACCCCATGTTGAAATTTTGAAAGCAATTATTAGAATAAAAGTTAGTTACCTGCATTGACAAAGGGGATCCCATCATATGGGACATACTGAGATTTCCACATCAACCGTGTGGCGGGTTTGGCTGGGCTTGGAGACTGGCGCGTCCCCCACACACTTTGTGTTTGCTGCTTGTGTAGCGTTAGAACACTCTCTAATTCTGTCTCGCTCACACAATAGCCGCGGTATGAGTCCCCAATTTTCTGCATGGAAAGGAGGTGAAATAATAGGATTATTCACCCAGATGACTGCTGAACATTGCACAAGAAAACAAAAGCAGTCAGGGACCCTGGCAGGTGAGGACACAGGCCCAGATTTTTGGCATGTCATCATTTTTTTTCCCCACACTATTATCCTTTACAAATAGATTTACCACAGGATCTAACACCAGAGCAGTCCCCACTGAGGTCAGGAGTTTGTCAGCTCTCCAAGACCCTAAATACACCAAGAACCCCTGAGAAGATTACAGTTACTGACCCTGTCAGGACAACTTCACTCCTGTTGTTTCCCCCAACACACGTTTCAGTTGCTCCTAGACAAGTTTGTCTTAGACAAACCTTTTCACTTGACTCTCACTACGAATTGCTCAAGCACTACAAATTGTCTATGCATCTACTTCAACACACACACTGCACTGAGCTGGAGCAGAATCCATCTGCTTATACTACCAGTAATTGCCTCACCCGCTTACTGCACTAACTTCAAATTCAATGTCTCACAGAACACCTCCTCCAGTCTTCAAGGAACTCAGTTCTCAACTTTCCACAGAAACACAGCATACCAGATTTGCCTTGTGCAGACCGATGACGGCTTCAGTGAACTCTGCCAAGCTGCATGCAACTCCAGAAAAACAGCATCTAACTTGACTCAAAGTAAAAAAACCCAAACAAACCCAAAACACAACAACAAAAAAAGCACAACTTGCTGACTTTGCAACATCCCTCGTGACAGCTGTTCAGCTACTTGGAGCCATCACAGCTGGTTCAGTGCTATCTACCAGAGCCCGCCAGCAAGCAGAGAAAGCACTGGGACAGAGAAGAGCTTTTCATCAGAGTTCTTAATGCCATGCTCACTTTTGTTCATATGCAGCTCAGGATCAGGCTGACAAGCAGCTGGGAGTTAACACTAGAGTAGTCTGCCAGCTGTCTTACAGAGTATCTGTAAGACAAATGCATGGTGAATGAGGACTAAACTCTGATGGATCTATTTTGCCACCTTCAATGACAGTGCAGCCTGTTGTTTAATACTGACAACAAAAGCAGCAACAGCGTCTCTCAAAGACTAGTATTGCACAAATACTTCGGGGACAACTTTATAAAACCTGCCTTTTACCTAAGTAAAACAATGTTTGTCATTAGCAAGAGCTAAAGTCAACAAAGAACAAACAAACACCTTGTGAATGAGCTGGGCCAGCACAGTGTTGCTGTTAGGTTAAGCCCAAAAGCAGAGGATTATGTATGCACCGGATGCATGAGTCATTCTGAGATAGCAGTTGCTCACTCTTCAGCACTGCCGCAAGCATACCGCTCCAGCTATTACACCTATAGGTGCACTCCCACACGGCTGTGGTGAGGAAGAGAAGTTGACAACTGCTCAGCCAGAAATTATAAATAACATTTCTGTCCAAAACTTGATCTGAAAAACCTAGAAGCAACAAAGCAGCTTGAGAAGTACCAGAAGTACCTTCTGTACAGAAACCTGGGATGGCACCTTTCACAAGAGGGATTACAGTACCACTCCACGCAGGGAATGATGCATGACCAGCATTTTTCTTTCCGTATCTTACACCTGTCACTATAAATCGGTCACTGACCTTATCTTAGGGAGATGACAAGACTGGTAAAACTGTTGTGATAACAGCTAAGGCACTGGCTCCTATTCTGGCTTTACTTCTGTGCTAGATCGTTTTCCTAAAATTGGTGGGAGGGGAGTGGGAGGAGAGGAAAATCATACAGCACATAAGATCCCTGCTCTCTAGGGGCTTCCAAAGTGGGAACAAATGGATAAATGATACCATCTGCTCCAGAAAAATAAATGAACTTAGCTTTGTACAGTTGATATTAATTAATGTAGTTTTTAATGACACTATTTCGGTATGCTGATACATGCTGGAAATGCAAAAGATCAGGCCACTGAAAACTAAGTAGGCTATAGAAAATAACTTTTTTAAAATCCACTTTTTCTTAGCAATTTAATTACCTCGAAGTAATTGGATACTCTCCAATTCTTTAACTCCAGTGAAGCTTCAAGCAAAAAAAGAGGCAATTCCTTTCCTCTCCCCTGGCCTCATCTCAGCAAGGGTACGTAAAAGCTTACACTGAAGTACACCCATCAAGACTGCAGTTTTTGTCGAGTGAGCTACAGCAGCAGGATACCAGAGGCTTTACGCTATAGGCATGGCAAGTGTGAGCCGAAGACTTCAAGGCAGTCAGCAAATCAATACCAAACACAGAGCTTAGTGCTAACTCTGAACAGCTGCGGCTTTTAGTGCTCTCTGCCTGCAATAATAACTGCCAAAGGAGTCACTGCCCTTGGGAGCACAGTACTGGCCATCTCCCTGGTATGCATATATTGTATGAAATAAAAGGTGTGTATATACATACATAATATATACATATATAGAGTTATATATAATTAATTTTTTAAATATTATTATTTTAAAAACATTCCTAAGTGGATACAGAAAGAAATTAAATTTCTAAGTCTCCACAACTGTAACTTTGAGTTACCAGTGGCCAAGCCAACAGGAAAAACCTCAAATGGCAGGGGTATCTATAGAGGTGAATCAGCTAGAGAAAGCATGAGTCTTCCTTTAAAAAATATTAAGAGAAAGTAAAATAAACATCTATCAGGAAGAGCCTGGTGGCAGGAGGAAGCGGTAGGTGATCTCTCAAGAATCTTCCCATCTCCCTTCCCTTCTTTTTAAGTGATTTATGGTGCATTTCAGCTATTGATAACATCCCAATCATCAGAACAGTTCTTCAGACATGTAACAATATGCTGAGAGTTCTGTTTGGGTCAAAAGCGACCACAGGGAATAAAGACAGATCACATGGTAACAAAAGAGAAAGCAAGCACAGGTAACCAATGATGGTACAAAAAACAAAAATCAAAAAACCCCAAACCAACCAACCTTGAGAATACCTAAAATAGAAATCCTTAGTAAAACATTGATATTAAGGAGCTCTAAATCTCAGATTTGATCCTGGTGAGTCACATAGATTTTGATTTCTGTATGACAACACAAACTAATACAAACACTTGCAGACTTAGGCCATATTATTCTCAATGGATCACTAAGGGCAACAAAACCCAATCTGCTCAGCAGAAGACAGCAGAGCTTACTTACACTGTAGCTCACAAGTGAACTCTAACACGACAAACAATGGCTTTTCCTAGCACTGCACAGGATCAAGATTTCAGAAGCATAGCTTTTTGCTTCAGGAGCTGTTGATGGTCAGTTATTCTAGCATTCCCAAAAAAGGAAGGGATTCCATAGCATTTTATATGTTTAAATGTGCTGGTAGTACCAGCTAATACCAGTAATTTTTCATAATATCAGGAAGCTTGAACACAACTTCTACAACTGTCAATTATTCTCTTCATGGAACAGGATCAGCATCTTAGATCCAGATGATAAAACATCAAGTCAGAATTCTTTGCAGCCTACCTCACAGCTCCTGAGACAGCATGCCCATGCAGGTATATTTGGTGGCAATAGCTGGAGAGGGACAGGAAAGGGATCTTCCACTACCCTGAAAAACAAAAACATGTAGTAAAAGTTTACACTGACATACAAGAAAGCAACCATTCAGTCTAAACAGCAGGTAACAGCAAATCAGTGCACTATGCTGTCCTGGGTTCAGCTGCAAGTTATTTTTCTTCTTCTTTGTAGCTGGTGCAGTACTGTGTTTTTGACTTTAGTCTGAGAACAACGATGGTAACACCGATGTGTTCAGTTGTTGCTAAATAATGCTTACCCTGATCAAGGACTTTTAGTCTCATGCTCTGCAAATGAAGAGGGGCATGGGAAGCCAAGAAGAAGCAGAGACAGGACACCTGACCCAAACTAGCCAAAGGGGTATTCCATACCACAGGACATCACAGTCAGTATATAACTGGGGGGAATTTTCTGGAAGGCCCAGATGGCTGCTTGGGTCAGGCTGGTTTTCAGTCAGTGGGTGGTGAGCAATTGTACTGTTTACAAACATCACTTGTGTTTATTGTTTTCTTTTCCTTTTCCCCTTTTAGTTTCATATTCTCTCCCCTTGTTATTTCCCTTATCATTATTAGTGGTAGTAGTAGTAGTTTTGTATTTACCTTAGTTACTTGACTGTTCTTATCTCAACCCATGTAATCACTTTCAACTCTTGGTTGGCAGTATCAGTGTCTCTTTGAAGTAATTTCAGTAATTTGCACTGTTATTTTAAGTGCACATCTACTGCTCTGGTCAGAATATACCCACCTACCTCTGGAATACAGGTCCTTTAAGTAACTTTTCCAGTGCTCTGGCACATCCAAAAGCTGCCTGCAAACACAGTTAGCTACAAATCACTCACTAGTACTGAGGGTTCACAACCTCTGTTGCAAGGTAATTTTGTGATAATCATTGCAAAAACAAAGTGCAAGAAAGCAAAAGCACTACTAGCAGTGGGTCAGAAATACTGTTCTTCATTTTACCTCCTGACCTACCTGGTGGTTGTTTTTTTCGATACAGTGAGAGATGTCTGTGGATGTAGAATGTAACTGCTTCCACTGTCCGCTATAGCAGCCACCACTACAGTCTGTAAGTTCCCATCACCACACTTCTCCTCTGAAACATCTTTATAAAAATAAAACAGCCTCCTGGTTGATAACTGAACTCAGAATGAGGAAATAACAAGCTATGATTAAACTTTGTGTTGGAAGAGCAAGCATTTTGACATATGAAATAAGATCCGTAGATGACAAGGTAGTTTAATAGTTGTGAATCAATACTTAAACTCTCAGAGGTACATTTGATAAGGTTGTTTATCCTCAAGGACAAATCATGTTACTGCTAATGAAACCTTCCACAACCAAGCAAATAATCTGAAGAACGTGTACATTACTCTGCTTTACATTCACACAAATCCTTATAGGATTGCATAACTATTTTGTTCAGCTGCAAATCACGCAGTGATTGCTTTTGAAATAAGAAAAAAGGAGATTACAACACTGCTTTTTACTTTGAAAGAAGGCCTAAACAAGTAAAATAGACCTCTCGTAATTGAATCTTACATGCTATTGGAACAAACGTTTTAGCCTTTCCTCATAACAGGGAGCAATCTGTAAGCCAAAAAATACTGTTAGAATGAAGCCTGTATATATATAGATAAACAAAAACATAATGCAAAACTGTCAAAGCAGGCATTTGATACTTCGATCTCAACATTAAGAAATGGGAGCTCTCTTTAGAAGCAGGATTTTTGTCCCTCTATTATAGAAGCTTTTTCCCCCCATCCGAAGAGACAGTGATAAATTACTGTCTAAATACAGAAATCACTCCACTAGAAAGTTTGTGCTGGGAGATCTGTAAGTGTGCACCTTGCATTAACACCATACTGGTTCAAAGCTCAGAGCACTGGTTCCTCTACACAGACATGCTCTTAAGACACTACAGTCTACTCTGAAGCCCTATGCCACTGCATGCATTACTACCATGTGCAGGCAAGCAAAACTCAAGGGCCAGCAGTCCGTTTTCTTTCCCCTTTAATCTCCATAGTATATCCCTAACAAGTCTTCTTGTTTGTCTTTCAAAGATCAAATAACTTCAAAGAGTTTTACACAGCAAGTCTCTAGAAAAACAAACCAATCAAACAAAAAAATCACAAAACCCCCTGTAGAACATAATATTCAAATACCTCAAAACTGAGCTACCTGCAAAGAGGGAAGAGTGTTTAAGACAAAAATATCAGAATACAAAATACAAAAATACTATTCATCATTGCAATTTACTGCCTACAAAAAGTAGCAGCAATTCTTTAGTAACTAAGGGCCCACAGTCAGCTTAAAGTCACGTAAGACAACACTTAACTAAACAGTGGTCTTACCCCTGTGTACAAGCACGTGCAGAGGAAGAAAAAGACGAACATTAGGTTAGGAGCAAGCCTTTCAATGCAAGGTCGTGGAACCATATTCCAATTGTCAGTGAAAAGGGCTGGATCATGACTTGAATCTGAATTATTTTTTTCTATCCACCCAGCATCAGGACTTGAGTCTTGCCTTTGAGCTCTCATTGCACAGAAGCACTTAAGTAGTCCTCAGATATGGAGAACTTTCTCAGATTTTGAGGACTTCATACAGAAAATGCAAAGACAGTTAAAAAAAAACCCTAAAACTTTGGAGAGTTTAACAAAATGTGACAATCTAGTTCTCAATCTTATTATGTGAATGGAAACTAGTACACAGCATTCTGCCACCCAGCAAGGCTTACAGATAAATAATCAATGTTTTCAGATTTCAGTATGTCCCTTTTCTAGGGAGAAGCTTAAAATTTGTGCTTCTAGTTATGCATCTTGTCACATACTTAAAGTGTGACAATCAGCACACTGAGGGGAATAAACTTGGCAGTAAAGTTACATCTCATTTTCTTCAATGGGAACTGAATTTCTATCTAGAAACTTTATTCCTGGCTTTGCAAAAGATGCATCATCACCAGTAACATCTGGAACAGCCCAGAATAACATTAATTCTTCTACCTGCGTTAACTACTTCACTCAAAATTAAGTAAACAGTGGAGATTTGAAACTGATAGTACAGCTGTCTGACTTGGCACGAACATCCTTATCAATAGTAAAGAAGGCAAGAAGCAGTTTGTGCTTGATATCTGAATCTATCCATCATATACCTAAAGTGAGCATAACAGCTTTTACTTCATGAGGCTTTTGCCAAACAGAAAATGTGGTGCGTGGGGTGCCAGATTCATAATCAGAAAGCAAATTTAGGAAGTATGTATGTTTGTCTTATAAGGAAAGGAAACACATACAGACAAGATGCTTAAAAAGACATGGATGCAAGGATATGTTCAGTCACAGGAACACACACTCTCAAGTCCCACAGGTTAAACTCACCCTGCGTGCTGGTCGCATCCAAAAGCTGACCTTGAGGAATAATCACTTGGGCCATTTCTGGCTGGGTAGTAGGGATGACATGCAGCACCTGCCCATTTTCTGACTGGCTGGCAACAATCATCTGTAAGGCAATCACACAAAAGTATGAATGGCATTAGTTTGTATTATGATCGTCATGCAGCACAACTGAGTCTGCTTATTACCAGAACAGGAAATATTCTGGTTGCAATTATAACATATAAATCAACATGATTTTATATAATAAAACCCCTGCCTATTTACTGTCCATTTCTTAAAATTACTTTCCCTCTTTTAAAATAGCTCTTTAATTATTTAAAGGGGGAAAAAAAAAACCACAACAAAAAAATCCAAAACCCACCCTCAGTGGATTCTACAATGAATTACACATTTATTTGAATCTCACACACTATTATTAAAGCTATCAAAAACCTGATGGTTGGATTCACTGTGACCCCATTCTGGACTAGCAGAATTAATTACAACATATCAAATGTTAACCTTTACTCCTAAGAAACTGAACTCTATGCAAAAAATGATAGAAGAAAAGCTCCAGGACTTTGAAAATAAATAAATAAATTCTCCTAGAATTCTGGAAAACTTGCACAACTCCTTATGGTATATTTTCCCATAATTACCAAAGACTTGTTCCCAACAATGTTATAAACCCTACAACAACATAAAACATTATCTTGTTTCTAATTTCTTACACTTTAAATGGTTGAACAGTTTCCAGCGACAACACAACACATGCCAACCAAGCCTTCTAGGCTAGAGTTACCTTTTTACAAAGTAAGTGTTCAGAATTATAAAGTAATGTTTTAAGCACATCAATTGCAGGTGGGTGGGAGGGAAGGAGATACATATGGGTTATCGTGTTGCTAATGTTCTAATCCCCACCCAAAAAACCACAGATACACTTATTTCAGGGAACACAGGTAAAGCAGCAGTCGTAGAAGTATGAGATCTCATAAAATCCAGGCTTCATAATGACAAAAGACATAAGTTGTTTAATAAAATTAGTAATGGCTGGAAACAAGATTTGCCTACCTGAGGAAGAGCAACTGCAGCATGAAATGAACCACTGAAAAGTTTCACCTCCTTGCTAAAGTCTGAATCAGCTGTTGCTACAATAACAAGCACCTTGTAAAGGAGTTTTTCAAGGAGCATCCTTGCCTCTCACACCTGACCTCTTTTCAGATACTCACCATGGGTGCAGTGGGTCCTCCAAGGGGCTGCAGCTCATAGAGCGGCTGCCCAGTTTGGTCCACCAGGTGGGAGTCCTCTGTGGAGTGAGGCTGGGGTGGCTGGGCAGGCACAGCTGATGATGGAGAGCCCAAGAGGCGTACTGTGATGGGCAAGACTGGAGGAGAGTCACTCCGTCCAAACAATAGATCCCTGGAATCCATGCAGGTTAAATGCTTTCACAGAGGAAAACCAGTAAAATGTACTTTAACCTTGAGCAGCAATTTCTATTAAAGAAAAAAAAAAAAAAGGAAAGAAAGAAAAAACATTTAAAACCAGTGTGCTGTACTGTATACTTGGAGGGAGCTCTCGTCCTTCTGATCAAGAGGCTACCAGCTAACACTACAGCTCTATTTTTGCTTTCCATTTCCTGGTGAAAATGTATTCATGTTTCTGCCTCCTAGAACAAACCCTCTCTATGAAAGGGAAAGAAAATCCCTTGTGACTAAAATCTGTTCCCTAAAACCAACATATCTACCCAGAATCTGAAAGAACTTACACCAAAACTGTCAAACACCTGCCAACCTGATTTGACTTCAGAAGAAGTCCTAGACACTATTTCACTTCACCTTTACATACATGTATTTAGTTATGAAAACAGAAATTTCTATAAGTCTCGTTAATTCTTTACCACAGAATAAACATAAGCAACTCAAACCCTCCCAGTCAAGGTCAAGAACTATACAGCACAAGACCAAGAATCAGGTTTTGCAAGTCTCAAAAACTATGTACTCAGAGCTTATTCTCCCCAAGCTTGCAGAATCAAGGTCTTAAAGCACATCCCGCTTTGATTAAATTTAAACTTTAAGCACAAATGTCTTGTTGAAATTCTGACAACACAAATATTGAACATGTAAAAATAACTGCAAATAGGCAGCCCACGTGTATAATGTGTCAGGCTGTCATTTGGTTGATGCAAGGAGGAGTGCAGTTCGTGGTATCTCTTGCAGCAATCACACAATCAACTGACATTTCTGCTACAAAACTTCGTAAACTGTAAATCCAAAGAGTGGGGAAGAACGTTTCCAAATTTAATATTGAAGTCACACCTGAGCCAAATAACCTAAAAATCCTTCAAGAATAAATCTTCTGTGCTAAACCTGTCTATTGTAAACTTCACCAGGAAAGCAGCAAAAAATTGCACTAGTTATGTTAAAGACACTGTGCAGAGACCATAAGCATGCTACTGAATCACTACCTGAATCATATGTTGTCTTAGCTGAAGTAATGCAGAACATTTATGCACAGAAATCCGACTAGAAGTATCTGGTGATATTTGATAATAAATACATTAAACACTCCCCTTCCCCAATACCTACACAGACATCCTGTGTCTGGATTATTTGCCACATTTAGTCACTAATTTAACCCAATTTTCAATTCATTAGCCAAATCTGTCATGCAGCCATCTTGAAGTAAATTACATCCGTTTTAAATGGTTATAAAACAACATGAAATGACTACTGTTAGTTGACAGCAGGAAGCTTTGCGAAGGAAAAACAACAGATTCTGAATCCCTCTTACTCCAAGGCATGTCATGAAGTATTCTTTTATTAAAGGATTTTTCTAACACAATAAAACATATTTCTTCAGCACTGTAACAGGTTCCATTAATACAATTACTAAAGATTGTCGTTACATGCAACATCTAGATATTCATCAGTTCAAAACCAAATGGCACAAGAACCCAAGGGAAGGAACTTTTGCACTTTTTAAAAGACACAATGTACTACTATAAAGGCAGGGAAAAAAACACTTTGATGAAATAATATAATGCAGGTTCATTAGAGAAGATGTAAAGAAAGCATCTGCAAAGACAGGACATTCATACCTCACCTGAAAAACCTGATCCTTTGTTTCTGACTCTCCTGTACCATTACAGTTGCCTATGAACAAATCATTAGATCCTTCCATAGCAATGTCATGGTCATCTCCATTTTCTTCCATTACAAGGTGACCTGAAAAGGTTACGAAAGTTTATTTCAGCTTTCTGTACTTTAGCCTCAAGCCAGACATTGCTGCAGGATTTTCTTTTGTCTTACAAATTTACTCTTACAAGTTCTAACACTGTTGCAAGCTAACAGCAAAGCCCTCAAGAAATCCCTGCCTGTTTATCACTTTATTACTCACTGCAGAAAAATCTCCATGTGTTGCTCTAGGAGTATAGTTTAGCCTCTTGTATAAGAATTTGCTAGACTTGTCTTTGCACACACAGACACAAAACACACATACACATTCATGATTTACCCTAAATATATCCACAAGCATTCAACAACCATACACATTTAGAGAACACTCAATATTTAAAGATATGCCAGCACTGCTTTACAAAAATACCATTCGTCTACTTCCATAATCAACAGACAGGATTTGTGTTACCCAAATCTGTCATGCAGCTATCTTGGAATAGATTAAGTTTGTTTTAAAGGGTTATAAAACAACATCTAAATGAAATTACTATTGTTAGCCTACAGCAGTAAGCTTTAGGCAGGAAAAATGCCAGATACATTAAATAAAATTTGGCATTAATCATGTGATGAAATACAAAAAGGAACTACTTCAAGGACCTCAGTTGCCCACTATAAACCATCAAGCAAACAGAATTTTGGACAGTGAATTGCTACAACCACCGCACACCAGACAGTACACCCTTTAAAGGAGTGACCAATAGCACATATTCACAAGCAATGAGACAAAAAAGACAAATTAACTTGGCCCCTACGTTACTACAGTACATATATACTAGACTACATGCATGATACGCCAAACTGAATAAAGAAACTTAATTCCTGCAGTTTGGGGTGAAGGAGGGGAAAAGGTGTTCAGATTTTTTCCCTTCAGTAGTTATTTTAAAGACAGGCAGCATTATATTAGCACGTGACTCCTACCAGCTTTATCTTCTTCACTACACCACATAAAACGGGTCCTGAAATGGATCTTCTTGGCTGTGACATTTTAACTGTTTACAACTTTAGTAAGGTGAATGTAAAAGGCTAGAAAGTCACTTGAAAAGAACTACAGCCCTTGAAGGACAAATTTATCTTGCTTTGCAAAGATACAAAGGACCACAGGCAAAGTTAATCTACATCTCCTTGGCTTTTGAAGCTGAATAAAGCATCCTGCTGATACAAACAACATTGAGAAATTAAGCTGCTCATATGCTCAATACACTAAATACTTTAATCTAAAGCAGATTTATTTTTCCATTCGCTTTTCAAGTGATGACACTCCAAAACCAAGTTCCAAATGAAGTTACCTCATGCTCACCAATCAAAAAGCTTTGGATCTGAGAACAATTCTGAGCTGCTTCACTTAGTGTCTGAAGCATGTCAGCAGCATACAAAAAAAAGGCAGAAAGCTAGATTTCATCATCACCCAACCATTTTCCCTCAGTTAAAAGACTTCAAGAAGATATGTCAGTTCTGGCAAAGCAGCACATTTAGTTCTCCAAGATAAACAGAAGAGGTTTGTTCCAGAGATACCAATGGCATGTACCCTTAAGCATGCTGGAATCCAGCTACAGAACACAAGGATGGCTGTACTGGGACAGACCAACAGCCCAACGTCCTGTATCTAATACTGGTTAATAATAAAGCTCAGGGGAAATATTACAGCAGTAGGGCAAATATACAGTGATATTTATCCAGCTTCCTCTCACAAGCAGCCCAGAAATAGCTGAAGTTTTATCTTTGTGCTTAAAAAATCCCTGTGGTACTTTTTTGCCTGTGATGTTGTCTGACCGCTGCTGTAACCAGGCACATACATCACCCTGCACAACGAACTCCATGGTTTCACCATCCACGTTTCATTAACTTGGGTGGTGTGCAACCCCAAGCAAAAAGATACTTTTGTCCTGAAGAAATACACTTTTACAGATACTTATAAGTAAATACATGGGTAATAAATTAAATAACTGTATAAATATTGCTAACAGATACCCCAAACAAGACAGTTAAATTCTGTATACATAAATACATGTGGATATTTTGCCATGAATGAGTAAATGACATACATACAAGTAGCTCTTCTTTTCATATACTCTTAACATAAGTGTCACAAAAATTTCCAGTGTAACACCATCATATCCCACATTTAACGATGGGCTGAAGGGAAATATGGGAGTTTAATATTAGTGTAGAACATAGCTGTATCCTCAGTGCACACATCAAACAGACAGCTCTCTATGCCTCAGCTTTAGCCTTAACCAAAACCACTCTACAGGCTGCCCTACATGAAGTCTACCACTCCAAGGCAGTTTCCAACCCAGTTAGCACATTTTAATGCTATAGCACCACTTTGTTTGCTCTGCCTCCCTTTGGGAAGCACTCTGCTCAAAATAAAGGGAAAACTATTGCTATCCTTGGTTCAACTCTACAAAGACAGTAAGTAACCACAGAAGCAGCAAGCACAGGCAAATGGAATTACCCATCATGAGCATTTTATGTAGGATCTTTGAGACTGCAAACATGCACTGCAATCTAGCTTACAATTACCATCTGTGGTTCAATTTACACAGACAAATTGGCTGATAGTTCAAGATCATTTAGCAAAACACAGGAGGCAGCAAGAGCTCCGTTTATTTAGCCATCAAGAATTGCCATGATAACACAGCTGCCAAAGCCAGGGGCACCTCTTGCATATGCTAGGTCTTCACTGACTGGTATCCACAGACACAACTTGTGTAACATCGGGAACTGTCAGCAGGAGCAGGATTTCTTGCTCTGAGGTGAGGTTTTCCCATAACAGTTGCAATCTCCCCTGTAATGCAGAAGCCCTTGTACTGATTCTCAATATACAAACTTTTAAAGACACTAACAGAAAAGTCAAGCTCACATTACTTTAAAATCCTATCATTGACCAGTCACGCCTCTGCTCTGCCTTAAGGCAAAGTATTTGATTTCTATTTTCTTGCCTCCAATCCTTTATTCTATGTAATGCCTATACGTACGAACTACAAGCAGTGGTCCCTAAAAATACACCAGTTTTGACTGACATAATTGTAAGGCCTTCTATGAATGCCTGCTTATATGTTCCCTCAGTTATGAGGCCTCATTGTAAAGTCAACGCGCATCCAGATCCCACAGGGAAGTGCAGCCTTTTGAAATCGCAGGACTAATTATTTTAACACCGAGTCAACATTGGAAGACGTTAGTAATAAGAAGAAACCTGTGCTGTAGAAACCAGGTAAGTCTGCTATGACAATAAGTGCATCCTACCTAGGACTACCTGTCCGGGCAGGAAGGAGGCAATTCTCTTAACAGTTTTCAAGCTTCAAGTCTTCAATGCGTACCCATTAAAACCAAAAGGAAATCAGAGCTTGACAGTGCAAGTTCATGTTCTCAGAAGTTCTGACAGCAATATTCCCCATTCCAGTCTTATTTTATACTTTTGGACAGGAAATATGTACAGTATAATGCCTCACCCACAATCTTTCTTGGGATTTCCATTAAATGCTTAGAGGTTTTTGTAATGATTTAAGGTAGCTGCATTACTCACAACAATTAAACACTCCCTCTGAAAAAGCTATCTCTGATGATGTATCTCTATCATCATTATGAAGGACATGGACTACAGTAAAATTTAACAGGAAGGAAAACAGGGCACAGTGATAGTAAACGAGTTTACACTTAGCTTTATATTAACTTGTACCAGGTTTGAGACTTAGCTTCTCCCTCTCATAGAAGAGCAGGCAGATAGGGTTAAGAATGCACAGAAGGTCTGGGGACTCCTGTGCAGTTGACACAAGTACCCGGAAAACGCAACTGTCAATCATGCTGACCACGTTAGACCTTTTAATTACACTTAAGAAAGAGATGAGATTTCAGAGTCCCAAAAAACCCCTGCCAGCTCTAACAAGCTGCCCCAACCGGAGTCACCCCACAGAGAAAGATCAACTGTTCCCTGAGAGGCCACAAGCACCTGTCAAAAAAAGCAGAGGAAGTGCGCATATAAACCAAGCACACCGCAGCTACTCAACACAAGCAGCCTACTCTCCAAAGACCTAATTCCCTTACCGTTTCTTTTAAAGTCCAGATGCACCACTTTACATGCAAAGAAACACAACCTACACCCAGACGACACCAGCAGCAGCGAACGCTCACACTCCCGGCTACAGCAGCGCCGCAGAGAGCGCTCACCGCCACAAAGCCGGTACGACGGGCTGCGCTGCGCTGCGCTGCCCTGCACAGTGCTGTAGGGAAGCCCCGCTGCAGCGGCGCAAGGGCCTGCGAGTGCCTCAGGGAAAGCGCTCCTCAGCCTCCTCCTGAGGGGAGCCCCACACCATCAGCCCCATCCCTCCCACAGCGGCTACAGTCCCCCCACCCAGCAGCAGCACCACCACTACTACTACTATCACTACCACTACCATTACCGCCCCAAGGGGAGAACGCTACCGAAGCCCGGTCGGTCCTGTCGCCGACGGCTCCGCGGGGAGCAGCGGAGCGCCCCAAAGGGGTATCCTCAACCTCAGCTCCGCTCCGGCAATCACCGCCATGCACTGCGCACCGCCCCTCAACGCAAGCGCGCTCTCTAGGTGGGAGGTACGAGGGGGCGCCGGGAAGGAGCCGCGTGAGGCATGTTGGGTGCTGTAGTCTCCGCCGCTACCCGGCGCTGCGCAGCTCGCTATGCACACGGCCGGCGGCACCAGCAGCAGCGGCTGAGCGGGGCCGGGCCAGCCGGGCCGGGGGAAAGAGCCTCGGAGGGGTCGGAGCGCTGAGGGCAGGAGGCGGTGCCCCGGGGGCGGGCGCGGCTGATCGCGGCACGTGGTCGGCCCCAGCAGCAGCATCATGGCGCAGCTCACGGCGCGGTTTCGCACCGAGAACCGCAGGTGAGCGGGCGCCTGCCCGCCTGGGTCTGGGGGGTGTGAGGTGGGTTTGGGGCGGGAGTAACACAGAGGCGGTAACGGCGCTGTGTGCCCGCAGGTACGCGGTGGAAGATGTGCCCTTCTCGGTGCCTGCGGCCTCCGAGACCACAGACCTCAGCCAGCTCATCAACAAGCTGCTGGCGGCCGGCAACGGTAGGTACCGGGACCGGGACCGGGTCTGGCTTAGGGCCTGCTCTGCTATGGGGTGATAAGTTCCATTTACTGCCTCTGTTTCTGACTGCATGCCCCGCGTGCGGGCACAGGCTGCGGGTCTGCCTCAAGCCGCCCGCTTCCCGCTGCACCGGGCGAGTCGGGCTGAGCTTGACCCTTTGTAGTGCATGGAGCTGCAGGCGAGACGGCTGAGGGCAGGTTCGGCCAAGGAAACGTGCTGTCAGTTAGAAGCAGCACCCTGGTTCCCACAGGCCCCTCAGCCCGAGCTGCTCCTGCCCTTCTGTTCTGGCTACCCGGAGTAAGGCACACTGTGAACTCATCAGATAGCAGTGATGGTTGGGCAGTGCCAAGAGAAAAGCTGGACTAGTGTTTTCCCAGCACCACAGACCGAGCTGCCCCAGCAAATGGAAATGGAAGAATTCTCCAAAGCCTGGCAAAACTAATGAAAGAAACCAAAGACTTGGTTGTTAGGAAAGCCTTTGAGAAGAGCTCCACCATGCTGCCAATGCCAGCTGACATGGGCCTGACAGACTTGAAAGGTTTTTTGGGGAAAAGACACCTATGCCATGTTAAGAAATCCCATTTTCCATAACAAAGTAGACTAACTGTATCCCAAACTGCTGGGACTTCTATTAGCTGCTTTTAACTCATGAAATTGCAAGCAGCCTGGAAAACTAGTGCACAAAGCAGTGCTTTTGTTGAAATATGGGGCTTTTGTCGACTGTGCCATTACAGAGGGAGAAATATGAACCAAAATTTCTGCTGCCTCAAATACAGGGCTCTATCTAGCAGTGATAAAGATGTGAGCTAGCAGTGGCAAGGTCTGTACAGGACAGTGGTGAAGCACTGCTGTGGCTTGGTTAGCTACAGAGAAAAGGATTAAAAAACTGGTGCTGTTCTGGATGGTGTCTGGTAGGTGCTGACACCTCCTGAACATGGATTTTTCCTAATGTGTTTCAGCGGATCACAAATATGTGGAATTCGACTTCCTTATCAATGGGCAGTTCTTGCGAATGCCACTGGTCACGCACATGGAAATGGAAAATATCTCCACAGTAAGTCATATTCAGTTTCTCCCCATTTTGGACAATAGAACAGACTTGGCCAGTTTACTTCAGTCTGATTTAGGTATTACACTGTCATCCTCACTAGGTAGGTTTCCTTGCTCAGTTTTACTTCTTTTCCAACTTTCCCCGCATTTTAAAATCCATTCTGGAGCGCAGAGTGATTGGAGAGTATGAGCAGTGCAAGGAACATAATTATCCAAACTGTTGTCCATATACAGTTCACAGGGGAAATTCTTGTCTTATTCAGTTCATCACTAACGTATTTTTGTCTCCTGTTCCTTAATTGCATTGGGGATAATGAGGGAGGTTAGTATTAGCTTTAGAAAATACCATGAAATATTGTAGATACCAGTTTTATGTGGGTAAATACAGAAGAAGAGGAACCTGAGAAATTGCTTGCTTTTACTTCCAGCTTGCTATTAATAGTGATTTGATAAAAATACAGAAAACAAAGGTTAGACACTATTTATTCCAGTAATGTAGCAAAGGATTCGGATACCAAGATCTTTACCCAATAACCTTGTATATTCTCACCATAGAGTTAACTATTGCTGCTATTGACTAAAAGAAACCCAAACCCATACAAAATAAGTATATTTTTTCTGTGAGCACAGGAAGAAGTGGTGGAAATAGAGTATGTGGAGAAATACATGGCCCCTCAGCCAGAGGAGTGCATCTTCCACGATGACTGGATCAGTTCTGTTCAAGCTACTGAAGAATGGTACTGCACTAAGCCCATTCTAAGTTTTGTCTTGCTTATTCCTGTTGTGTCAAATGAAGAAGTATTCTGTCTCTTTAATATCTTTCTCCACCACCCCTCTGGCCCCCAGTTTGTTCTGTTTTTGTTTTAGTTGTTTTAACCTGTCACGTCAGTCAGCTGCTTGCTTTTGTAAGCAGTTCAGGTTTAATGCTTTATGCTGACGGTGACTTTAATGCAAGTAGAAAAAAGATACTGTTAATACAAATGCTGTTTATTATTCTTTCACTTAACAGGACAGCAAGCATTCCTTAGCTCTCTTTTTAGTTTAAACCCTTGACTTTAAATGTGACATTAATTAGCAACAAATATAATACCTTTATGCAGAGCTTTTCTTTAAAAAAAAAAAAGCCACAATAATTGTCCTTTTCTACTTTATTTTCTCATTCATTTTCCAATTAACTAGACAATGTTCCTATATTAAGTAATGGTTTGAAAATGTCTTGATATCCTCTAGTAAAACACCAGGAATAACAAGCTCTCTTTTATTTCAAATTACGTAAGGGATTCTAAGCCTGAGCAGTTATTACGCTATTATTTTTTAAGTTTC